CTGCATCCCCTGCAAGACAGGGTACTTCCAGAACACCTCCTCCCCCAGTGCCCGCTGCCAGCCCCATACCAGGTGAGTGCACCCCTGCCTGTGCTCCTTCCACCCTCTGAGAAGCCTCAGCTGCTAACAGTCCTCACCCCCATCCTTGACACCGTGAGCTCGACTCGCCACTTCCAGCTAGCTCCACATGCCCATCCGAGTCCGGGCCCTGGTGGGCCAGAGCATGTAAAGGTCATCATCTCTTTCCTCCGCAGGTGTGAGGACCAAGGTCTGGTGGAGACAGCTCCAGGCACTGCCCAATCCGACACAAGCTGCAGAAATCCATTAGAGCCACTGCCCCCAGAGGTGCCAGGTGAGGGACCAGGGGTGAGGGGCACAGGGAGGTGCCTGGGAACATGCCTTAATGCCCCACATCTTTTTAAAAAATGGGGAAAAGATGAACCCTTCCGTCCCAGAATTGGGGCAAGAAGAAAAGTTCCTTACAGAAAAAATTGGAGTACCCGTGGGCTAGCTTCCTTACACACACACACACACACACACACACACACATACATGCAATTTTAAAGTATATATACTGTAATACTATGTCAAGGAACATATCCCACACTGAAATGTAGTGATAACCATTATTGTCAACATTCTAGGCATGTCAGCATCACGCAATCCATTTACTAGACCAAATGCCTCCTTAGTAGATTATATACTATTATTATTAGACAGAAGATTCCCATTTGACTCTTTCTTGACTTTTTCCTGTGGATTGATTGGCTTGCTAGCCTCGTAGATGACTGCAGCTTGTTTCTAAGGACTGTAACATCACTCATTGGCAGAAGGTTTGCTGTGTGCGTCGGGCACCCAGTCACCACTTTACATTCACCAACTCATTTCATCAGCTTAACGATGCTATGAAGTAGATTCTATTATTATCCTCATGGACTGAAGGAAGAAACAGACTCAAAGAGGTTAAGTGACATACCCAAGATCACCCACCTAGGTGGTCATTGGTGTTACTAGAACCTGCACTCAGGTTTTCTTACTCCAGAGCTCATGTCGTAATTGCATGCGCTATCGAAAATTAGAAACTTCAGATAAGCAAAACTGAAACTCACCAGCAGCACCGCCACCTAGAATACCCACTCTTTACATTGTGGCATCTATCCTCCCAGACATTTTTCTATGCATGATTATACATACTGGGTTTTGTTGTTGTTGTTGTTGTTTATTAAAAGTAGAGTAATTGTAATATTTTGTAACCTGATTTTTTTCATTCCACAATATAAGTATTTTTCCATGCCCTGTTAATTTTTAACTATGTATCAAATATGACTGGCATTTTGGAGCTGGAATTTTGGAGAGTATGTGAGCTAACCTCTTATGTATGAAAAACTGATGCTCAAAGAAATGAATGACTTAAAAGTCACACGGCTGGCAGGAAACCATGGCCCAGACTACCAGTCCAATTTCTCCCCAGGCCTCCCGTTCCACATTCCCTTAGGCTACAGAGGTACGTGAATCAGAAGGGGCAAAATGGCCCGAATACAAATGTCCAAGTCCTCCCAAAACCCTGGCCCAGGTGTAGTTGATGGCCACTGGAGACTCCATGCTATTGCCAGCAGCACTGACACCCAGAGAAAGAACAATTACCCACTGCTATGGATCAAAGCCAGAGAAGCTGAACTCCAGCCTCTCTTTTCTTCCCCTCCCAGAACCTGCCCTGAGCAAGGGGTGGAAAACTTGCACACCGTGCCTCTCAGGCGACCACAGACAGTTGAGAAGCAAGGCTCCCCACTCTCTCACCCCTGCAAACACCCCCACAGGTACAGCAGGGCAACCCTAGCCCCTCTACAGCGGCCCTCTGTGCGATGGCCGAGGCCACAGAAATGTGGCTCTACCCTGTGTCTGCTTACAACTCCAAGCCCCGCCCTTCCCTACTATCTCCCAGTCCCACTTCCAGACCTTGAAAATCAACTGCCCAAGCTCCCATCCCACATGCACAAGCCTGCTCAATCCTGCTCTCTGAGCAAGAGGGCACCAGCACCACCCCCAAATAGGTCCATCCATGGTACGGTCTCTCCTGACTGCCAAGAGGTCCCCAAGTCCAACTTAATTCCCCTTCCCTGTAACCCAAGGGAAGTTTCTCTCATTCTGCCTTTAGGAGCTGCAGTGTGGCTAGAAGGAAAAGAGCTGCTCCCTTTTCTCTGTCTGGGTTGCCCAGGGATCTGGAAAGCTCCTCCTTCTCCTCCTCCCCTCTGCCCTTCTGGCGCCTGTCATCACCCCTCCTGTCTGCTTTCCTGGCAGGAACCATGCTGATGCTGGCCATCCTGCTGCCGCTGGCTTTCTTTCTGGTCCTCGCCATCGTCTTCGCCTGCATCTGGAAGAGCCACCCTTCTCTCTGCAGGAAACTGGGTAGGAAGGGGTTGGATGCAGTGGATGGGATGGCAGTGGGAGCCCGAGGGAGGAATATTCAACTTCCCCAGTGCAACCCTCCACACCCTCAAGACTCCCAATGCCCACCCCCAACATAGACATCCTTATCTCCATCCAGCTGCTTATTCTGAGGCTGAAGATGAGAGTGACAGTGGTCAAGTTGTTACACATTGGGTGGGGTGTGGAGGCTGAAAGGCTAGGTCTCAGGCCTGCCAGAGTGCCTACACCCATTTTGTTCTCCATTGCAGGATCGCTGCTCAAGAGGCATCCAGAGGTAATGGCGGGGGCCGAGAAGGCAGCAAGGAGGGGAAGAGGTGATGAGGGTACAAGGTGGGAGCAGACAAGAAAAGAGTGTGCAGGCTGACTCCCCACTCATTCATTCATTCAGCTGATGATTTACTGAAATGCCATGTGCCAGGCACTGCCCTAGGCGCTATAGGTAAAGCAGTGAGCAAAATATAGTGCCTTCTTTCCTGGAGTTGACATACCCATGGAGCGAGAATAAAGTTAAATATATATCAGGGGTATAATTGCTAAATAAAGCAGGAAAGGAGCCAGTGAGTGACAGTGGCAGAGGATGGGGGCATTTTAGACGGAGTGGACAGTGAAGGCCTCTCTGAGAAGGTGATATTTGAGCAGAGAGCTGAAGAAGCGAGGAGCCAGCCATGGGGCTATCTGTGGGGGACGTCCTCTGGGAAGAAGGAGCATCCAGTGCAAAGACCCTGAGGCAGGGGGTGTGGGGAGGAGCAGAGGCACACCAGGGGTTGCCAAAGCATAGAGTGGGGTGTGGGAACTAAAGAAAGATGAGCCAGCCTGGGCAACACAGCCAGACCCCATCTCTACCCAAAATGTTGTTTCAAGTTTTAGCCAGCAGGGCCAGGCGCGGAGGCTCACGCCTGTAATCCCAGCACTTTGGGAGGCTGAGGCAAGCGGATCACCTGAAATCAGGAGTTCCAGACCAGCCTGGCCAACATGGTGGAACCATTTTTAGTATGTCTACTAAAAATACAAAAATTAGCCAGGCATGCTGGTGCGCACCTGTAATCCCAGCTACTCAGGAGGCTGAGGCAGGAGAATTGCTTGAACCTGGGAGGCAGAGGTTGAGGTGAGCTGAGATCTGCACTCTGGCCTGAGCAAAAGAGTGAGAGTATCTCAGAAAAAAAAAGAAAGAAAGAAAGAAAGAAAGAAAGTTAACCTGGTGGTCCCAGGTACTCAGAAGGCTGAGGCTGGAGGATCACTTGAGTCCCAGAGTTCGTGAGCCTGCAGTGAGCTATGATCACACCACTGCACTCCAGCCTGGGCAACAGAGCCAGATCCTTTCAAGAAAGAATGAAAGAAAGAGAGAAAGAAAGAGAGAGGGAGAGAGGGAGGAGAGAAAAAGAAAGAGAGAGAAAGAGAGGGTGGGTCTGGGGCCCTCGTCATTGCCATTGTTTGGGTCTCCGTCTGTCTCCTGCAGGGAGAGGGGCCCAATCCCGCAGGTGGAAGCTGGGAGCCTCCGAAGGCCCATCTACACTCCCTCGACCTGGAACAGCCTCTGCTGCCCAACTCTGGAGATGTCTCCCCAATCTCCACTGGGCTCCCCACAAACTCAGCTTTGGAAGAAGGGATGCTGCAACAGCAGAGTCCTCTGGGTCAGATCAGGGAGCCACCGTTGGAACCTGGGGAGCAGGGCCAGGTGCCCCATGGTGAGCCTGGGGCAGGGAGAAGAGAGTGTGGGGAGGGATGGGGAGGGAGGGATGGCAGGGAGGGAGACACTGTGGGCCAGATGAAATAAAAAGGGACAGGGACAGAGACTCCGCTGCCAGCCAGTGTCACAGCTAGAGAAGAGGGAAGAGACTGGAAAACCCAGAAACAGAGAAATGAACACAGGGCTCAAGAAACCAGCAGCAAGCAGGAGAGGGGTTGGCCGGGTTTTGGAGGGGGTACAGGGGAAGGTGAGAAGAAGACAAGGAGAATTCAATAAGCAGCGGGCCTGAATCAGGGGCCTTCCTTCCTCAACACTCTACCTCCCTTCCCACAGGTACCAATGGCATTCATGTCACCGGCGGGTCTATGACAATCACTGGCAACATCTACATCTACAATGGACCAGTACTTGGGGGAGCAACGGGCCCTGGCGATCCCCCGGCTACCCCAGAACCTCCATACCCCATTCCCGAAGAGGGGGACCCTGGCCCTCCCTGGCTCTCTACACCCTCGCAGGAAGACGGCAAGGCTTGGCACCTGGCGGAGACAGAGCACTGTGATGCCATACCCTCTAACAGTCACCCAATTTGTCACCCATGACTGATGGTGTCTGGGAAAAGGCAGAAGAAGAGAGGCACAAGGGCACCTTCTCCCCTGAGGCCGCCCTACCCACATGGGATTCACAGGGGGCCTGGGGAGGCAGAGCCCTAAGGGACTGAGGCTCAGACACCTCTGAGAGCAGGTGGGCACTGGCTGGATACTGTGCCCTCCACAGGACTCTCCCAAATGCCTGAGCAAACTTGAGGCCTCCTGGCAGGCCCACCCACTGACCGGGGCTGCTCAGCCTCAGGCACGGACAGGGCATATGATGCCAACTGCTGCCCACCATGGCATGCTGCACCAGAGCACGGCACCAAGGGAGCCGCCACGCGGTCACCTGCAAGGACGTCACCGGGCCCTCTAAAGGATTCGTGGTGCTCATCCCAAAGTTTCAGAGGCCCTTCGGGGTTCCACACTTCACATGGACTGAGGTAGATCCTGCATGATGAAATTATAGGGAGGATCTCCTTCCCTAGAGGAGAGGAAAGGGGGTTGCTAACAACGGGTTGGGCAGGACTCCTAGGTATGGGGAAGAGTTTTGGAAGGGGAGGAAAATGGCGAGTGTATTTATATTGTAACCACATGCAAATAAAGAGAATGGGACCCGGACCCAGATGATTGATTTTCTTGGGATTTATACAGAAATACTATTCCATGGGGACAATCTCAAAGACAAAGGTCAAGACACTAAAATATAATCCCATGAAGGTATTTCAGTGAGGAACTGGTGGGTGTAGTCCAATAAGAACCGTGTTAGTCAGTGACGGCTGGCAACGTGCCGGGCAGTGCTCTCCATACCTTATGATACTAACTTACTGAATCCTTGCAATAACCCCATGAGGTAGATACGATTCCCACTCAACAAAGGAGGAAACTGAGGCACAGAGAGGTAACTTTTCCAATTCAGCTGCAAATGCGAAGCTGGGATTTGCATCCAGTTAGTCTGGCTTTTAGAGGTCTCTTGGGTTAAAAAACAAAACAAAACAAAAAATACTTCATATGCCATGCCCTTCAGAATTTCTCGGGATGGGCAGAGTGGTCTGGCCCTCTCAGGTCCTATCAGATCTCTTCATGCTCCACGGGTGTTACATCTCAGTCAACTCTCAAACATCTAGCCTCATGCAAAGTGAAAAATATTCTCCAAGGTTGGTTGAAAGGAAAGGTGTGCACTTTTTTTTTTTTTTTTTTTTTTTTTGGAGACAGAGTCTCATTCTGTTGCCCAGGCTGTGGTGCAGTGGCTCTATCACAGTTCATAGCAACTTTGAACTCCTAGCTCAAGGGGTCCTCCTGCCTCAGCCTCCCAAATAGCTGGGGCTATAGATGTGTGCCATGACACCCGGCTAATTTTATTTTATTTTATTTTTTTTGAGACGGAGTTTCGCTCTTGTTGCCCAGGCTGGAGTGCAATGGCGCGATCTCGGCTCACCGCAACCTCCGCTTTCTGGGTTCAGGCAATTCTCCTGCCTCAGCCTCCCGAGCAGCTGGGATTACAGGCACGTGACACCATGCCCGGCTAATTTTGTATTTTTTTCAGTAGAGACGGGGTTTCACCATATTGGTCAGACTAGTCTCAAACTCCTGACCTCAGGTGATCCACCCGCCTCGGCCTCCCGAAGTGCTGGGATTACAGGCATGAGCCACTGCGCCCAGCCTTACTTTTTTGTATTTGTAATAGAGATGAGGTCTCCCTGTGTTGCCCAGGCTGGTCTCGAACTCCTGGGCTCAAGCAATCCTCCTGCCTTGTCCTCTCAACATGCAGTGATTACATGCATGAGCCCCGGTGCCTGACCCGAGGTGTGCACTTTATACATACAGTGAGAGAGCGCAAGTTCACACTCTGTTGGTGAATAGAAATCTAGCTGGCCTCCTTTTGGCTCAGAAGGAGTATTTATGATTTTTATGTTTTTGGTTTCTTTTTGTCTTCTTTTATCCTCCCCCCCCACCGCTACTGCCCAAAAAGGACTTTAAATCTCCTCAAGCCCTCTTATTAGTAAATGTTTGCCTTGCCCCTCCCCACCCCTGAATTCTCTCCCATGCTACTCCGTAGAGAGGATCTTAGCTTGCAGGATTGTTAGGGAGCTGCTGCCAGCTGGCCGCTCTTTCCATAAAAGGCCACTGTCACGGATCTGATGTGAAGAACTCTATCGCTGGGGCTCATCAGGACGGGGCAGCTGCAAAACACGCACCTCAGAAGGCGTCTGATCCGACTGAGTGGATGGGTCATTTAAGGTTGACCGTAAAAGCATCAGCTCCAACTTCCTTTTTTGAGAAGTAAATAATGGTGAGCTGTATCTTTAAATAAAGTCAAATCCTCCTGCCCCTACAATAGGCTGGGGCCAGACTGCATGGATTCTTAATAGTTTAGATTAAAAAAAACAAATGTTAGACATTTTTCAACGAAATAAAAGGAGGAAAATATTTTGAGAAATGGTGCTAAAGCACAGCCCTCTGTGACACCATTCACATTTACAATCACACCTGCATATATATATGCAGAAATTTCAAAAAAAATTAGCCAGGTGTGGTGGCATGCACCTATAGGGGAGACTGAGGTAGGAGGATCACTTGAGCCTAGGGGTTGAGGCTACATGAGCCATGATTGTGCCACTGAACTCCAGCCAGGGCAACACAGCAAGACCCTGGCTCTAAAAAAAATATAGGCAGGTAGGTTGGGCATGCTGGCTCATGCCTGTAATCCCAGCATTTTGGGAGGCTGAGGCAGGTGGATCATGAAGTCAGGAGTTCAAGACCAGCCTGGCTAACGTGGTGAAACCCCGTCCCTAGTAAAAATACTAAAAAATTAGCCGGGCGTGGTAGTGCGTGCCTGTAATCCCAGCTACTCAATAAGCTGAGGCAGGAGAATCACTTGAACCCAGGAGGCAGATGTTACAGTGAGCCGAGATCGCCCCACTGCACTCCAGCCTGGTGACAGAGCAAGACTCCATCTCAAACAAAAAAAAAAAAAGAAAGAAAGAAATGGGGTCTTGCTATGTTGCCCAGGACTGTGTGAAACTCTCAAACTCCTGGGCTCAAGTGATCCTCCCACCTCACCGTCCCAAAGAGCTGGGATTGCAGGCATGAGCCACTGCACCCCAACTGCCTATATTGATTTTCTAGGGCCCCGATAACAAAGTACTGCAGACTGGATAGCTTAAGCTGCAGAGATTTATCTTCTCACAGTTCTGGAGGCTGGAAGTCAGAGATCAAGGTGTTGGCAAGCTTGGTGTCCTCTGAGGCCTCTCTCCTTGGCCTGCTGGTGGTGGTCTTCCTGCCACCCGTGTCTTCACACGGTCTTTCCTTTCTGCATCAGTGTGTCCTAATTTCTCAGTGGATTAGGGCCCACCCTGATGACCTCATTTTGACTTAATCATCTCTGCAAACCCCTATCTCCAAAGAAGGTCCCATTCTGAGGTCCTGGGGATTACAGCTGCGGCACATGGATTTTGGAGGGTCCACGATTCCACCCACAGCACTGCTGCTGCCTATTTTGCAGTGCTGAGTCAGTACAGGCTCCAGGACACAACCACAGAGCACAGGCCACATGGAGGGGAGCTCCTGTCTAGAAGGAAAAGCTGATAGAAAACCGACAAAGATAGCCTTTTGATGGTGGCCTTCAAAAGACGCAACAGGATGCCACGGCCGTGGACAGTGGGATAATCGTTCGTTGTGAGAACCCTAATCATCCTCCCCTCGAAGGATACAGCCGGCACCAAGTCCAACCCACATCACACGGCGGTGGGACACCCGTGACGGGGCTGAGACTGAAGTCCAGAAGAAAGGTGGATGAGGGCCGGGCGCGGTGCCTCACGCCTGTAATCCCAGCACTTTGGGAGGCCGAGGCGTGTGGATCACGAGGTCAACAGATCGAGACCATCCTGGTCAACATGGTGAAACCCCGTCTCTACTAAAAATACAAAAAATTAGCTGGGCATGGTGGCGCGTGCCTGTGATCCCAGCTACTCAGGAGGCTGAGGCAGGAGAATTGCCTGAACCCAGGAGGCGGAGGTTGCGGTGAGCCGAGATCGCGCCATTGCACTCCAGCCTGGGTAACAAGAGCGAAACTCCGTCTCAAAAAAAAAAAAAAAAAAAAAAAATGGTGGCTGAGACGGGACAGAGCGGCAGCACAGGGACATGGAGAGCACGGGTAATTCAGAGTTTCCCTTTTTGAGAGTAGCATCAACAAAATGTCAAGGTAGGAGTTATCTAGCTCCTCTCCTTCCCAACAGAATTTCAACTAGCAACAATCCCGTGGCAAGTTTACCACCCTGAACATCCCAGAACTTGGAGTGAAGCTGTGTATCCCTTGAGACGGCAGAGCCGAGAAAACCCACGATCAGACGGTAAGGGGACGGCTGCTCTCCGGCCACGCCACCCCTCCCCGCAGCCTGCACAGCCACACACAGGAGCCCCTGGATGTTCCGTTTCTCCAGTGGACATAGTGGATGGGGGTGGGCGTTCAGCTTCCCCACCAGTCTGAGACTTCACAGGAGACTCCGTCCACTCTTTCCCTGCAGAAAGCACTGTGGGTACCAGCAGGGTTAGCCCACCAAGGGTCAGTAAGAATTTCCCTGTTCAAAAGATGAAGCGATTCACATAGACAGCTGTGCTAGACTCTTTCTGCTACCTGCCTAACGGACTTCCGCACATTTCCTGAGGACAGAACCCCATTTCTCTACCAGAGCAGAGATTCCATGACATCAGGAGGAGAGGCCTTTCCCCCAATCTCAGGAGCCGATAAACGCATTCTTCTTTGCGATTGTACAATGACATGCACAGGGAAGTCTTTCTTTCCAGGATAAAAAGCATCATTAGGAGAAAGTTTTTGGCTTGCCTTGGCCCTTAGTTTTTGTTTGGGGGATGTTGTGTGTGACAACATCTTTTCTGAGCTGTGGCAGCCATCTTGCCATCATGAGGAAACAGCCATGGAAATAAAAAGCCAATCCTTTGAGGACCTGGAAGACAAGGAAGAGCCTGGCTCCCCAGGCATCACTGAGCACCCGAATCAACAGTAAGTAAGGACAGCACCTCCTTCTGGGCTTTTTTTTTTTTTTTTTTTTTTTGAGATGGATTTTGCCCTTGTTGCCCAGGCTGGAGTACAGTGGTGCGATCTTGGCTCACTGCAACCTCCAGCTCCCAGGTACAAGCAATTCTCCTGCCTCAGCCTCCTGAGGAGCTGGGGTTACAGGCGTCTGCCACCACAACTGGCTAATTTTTCTATTTTTAGTAGAGATGGGGTTTCACCATGTTGGCCAGGTTGGTCTCGAACTCCTGACCTCAGGTGATCCACCCACCTCGGCCTCCCAAAGTGCTGGGATTACAGGCGTGAGCCACCGCACGTGGCCTGGGCTTCTTTTTATGAGAGAGAAAAAAAAATTCCCATTTGTGTAAATCATAATGTCAGGTTTTCCTTTTCTTTTTTAGTTTTAATTGTGTTTGTTTCCTCTCTTTCGGATGGATAATTTATTCACATGGGTCAAAAATAAAAAAGTTTCAGAGTAAACAGTGGAATGTCTCCCTTTCACTCCTATCTCTCCAACCACCAAGGTCCCTGCCCTGGAAGCAATCAATGTTACTGTTTCTGATACTTTTCCAGAGAGAATTTATGCATATTCAAACAAATATATACGAATATATTCCTTTGCTTTTGCTTTTTTTTTTTGAGATGAAGTCTCACTCTGTTAACAGGCTGGAATGCAGGGGCGTGATCTCGGCTAATTGCAACCTCCGCCTCCCGGGTTCAATCGATTCTTCTGCCTCTACCTCCCAAGCAGCTGGGACTACAGGTGCCCGCCACCATGCCCAGCTAATTTTTTTATTTTTTTTTTTATTTTTAGTAGAGACGGGGTTTCGCCATATTGGCCAGAATGGTCTCAATCTCCTGACCTTGTGATCTGCCCTCCTCAGGTTCCCAAAGTGCTGGGATTACGGGCATGAGCCACCGCGCCCAGCCTCCTTCGCTTTTTTATTTTCGCAAATGGTAGTACAGTAGCTCCCCCTTAACTCTGGTTTTGCTTTCCATGGTTTCAGTTATCTTCTGTCAACTGTGGTCCAAAATATTAAATGAAAAATTCCAGAAAGAAACAAAAATTGGGCACTGTTCTGAGCGGCAGTGTGAAACCTCAAGCTGTCCTACTGAGGCAGGGTAGGGATGGGACTTGGACCCCACTCATGCCCCACCGAGGACCTCTGTTGTAAGCTGGGTGGGAGTGGCCAGCAGGGACCCCAACGAGACTGTCCAGACCTTGCACCATGAATCTTGCTCCAGGTGCTATGCCCACTCATCGTAGAGTCTTAGGGAGACTAAGATGAGCAACGTCCCAACATAAATCTTACTCCAGGTGCCATAACAACTAGTGGCAGAAGCTTGAGGAAATTAAAATAAGCAGCTCCCACCTTAAATCTTACTCAAAGGAGTTAACCCTCCCTCCCATATGTACACAAGACCAGAAGAATGAGTGCTCCTTCGCCTTTGTTTCATTATAATACTAAAAATCACACCCAGGGGTGGAGATTCCACATGCTAATGAGACATGTGATGCATAAAGAAGCATGTTATCAAATTGAACAAGTGCCAGTTCCCCCACCTCTACCTGCTCAAACTCACTCCCTTCCCACTTTAGCTCCTTCAAGGTTACTCTCTTGAGGGCCAGGAGCGGTGGCTCACGCCTGTAATCCCAGCACTTTGGGAGGCCGAGACGGGCGGATCACCTGAGATCAGGAGTTCGAGACCAGACTGACCCTGTCTCTACTAAAAAATACAAAATTAGCCAGGTGTGATTACGCATGCCTGTAATCCTAGCTACTCAGGAGGCTGAGGCAGGAGAATCACTTGAACGCGGGAGGCAGAGGTTGTGGTGAGCCGAGATCGCACCACTGCACTCCAGCCTGGGCAACAAGAGTGAGACTCCATCTCAAAAAAAAAAAAAATTACTCTCTTGAATCTCTTCCAGGAGCCAGCCAGAGAATTCTCTGTCGCTTATGCTAACTCCCTTATACCCTGCACAAGGCATAACTTTCTGGGAAAACTCTTTTGGCCTCATGTTAATTTCTACTGCATTAACAACCCCCAAGACCCCGTGGTCAGTAACACTACTCCTGTCCCTTCAAGACATGAATTCTCCCTTTGTCCAGCATCTCCTCCCTGCAGACGCTCCCTACTCCTTAGTCACTTACAAGCCCTCCCAGTGAACAAATCAGCTGTGGAGGTATGGTATGCTTACGTTCAAGTCACTCTTATTTTACTTCACAATGGCCCCAAAGCCCAAGAGTGGTGATGCTGGTAATTCAGATATGCCAAGGAGAAGCCATAACGTGCTTCCTTTGATGACCTTGCTGAGATCTACAGTAAGAATGAACCTTCTATTCATGAAACTGTGAAGCAGAAAAAAGAAATCCAGAGCCGGGCGCGGTGGCTCACGCCTGTAATCCTAGCACTTTGGGAGGCTGAGGTGGGTGAATCACCTGAGGTCAGGAGTTCAAGACCAGCCTGGCCATCATGGTGAAACCTCATCTTAAAAAAAATTTTTTTTTAATTTATAAAATAAATAAATAAATAAATATTTTTTAAAAAACAAAGAAAAAAGAAATCCATACTAGTTTTGCTGTCACACCTTAAACTGCAAAAGTCATGGTGCATGATAAGTGCTTAGTTAAGATGGAAAAGCCCTCAAATTTATGGGTGGAAGACATGAACAGAGACGTGTTTTGATTGACAGCAACCAGGCTTAGTGCTATCCACGGTTTCAGGCATCCACTGGGGGTCTTGGAACGTATCCCCCTTGGAGGAGGGCAGATTACTGTACACGATGCTCTGTAAATTCTTCCCCTTGCCTTTTTCATTTATTAAAATAGCTTGGCCATATGCCATATTAGTACCAAAAATACTTCCTCGTTCATGTTTATATGTGTGTAGTATTCTACTACATGGCTGTACCATTTAACTGGATCCCTTTTTTAAATTCATTTCCAGTCTTTACTATTACGGACAATGCTACAATAATAACCTATGTCATTTTGCACATGTGGAAGTACCACTACAAAAAAGCTTGCTGGAAATAAAATGTCCTGGTGAGAGGATACATACATTTTGTTTTGAGAAATGTTGCTGATTTGTCCTCCATAGAGATGCAACATCAGCAATTTTTAAGTGTCCGTTTTCTTACACAAACACCAACCTTGATGTGATAGCAAACATTTTGATCTTTGCCAAACTGAAAGGTTAAAAAAAAAAGTTGCCGGCCGGGCACGGTGGCTCACACCTGTAATCCCAGCACTTTGGGAGGCTGAGGCAGGTGGATCACGAGGTCAAGAGATCGAGACCATTCTGGTCAACATGGTGAAATCCTGTCTCTACTAAAAATACAAAAAATTAGCTGGGCATGGTGGTGTGTGCCTGTAATCCCAGCTACTCAGGAGGCTGAGGCAGGAGAATTGCCTGAACCCAGGAGGCAGAGGTTGCGGTGAGCCGAGATTGCGCTGCTGCACTCCAGCCTGGGTAACAAGAGCGAAACTCTGTCTCAAAAAAAAAAAAAAAAAAGTTACTGGGCACGGTGGTTCATGCCTGTAATCCCAGCACTTTGGGAGGCCGAGGCAGGTATCATAAGGTCAAGAGTTCAGCCTGGTCAACATGGTGAAACCCCATCTCTATTTAAAAAAATTTTTTTTCAAAAAAAGTTATCTCAGTGGAATTTTTATTTGGATTTTAAAGTTTTTTATTTAACTGTGAATGAATATTTTATTTCATAGG